CCCCCCCTCCCTCTCGTCTCACAAACATATATTTTCATTTGTTAGCTTTGATATTCATTATATTTTTCCCTCTTGGCCACGGAATTCTTTAGCAGAGAGGTCAGAAAACAAATTGACAGAAAAAATAAGATTGCACTGCAGCTCTAAGCTAGTTAAATGTATGCCTTCGATTTATGCATGAATCTTTACTTCCTCTGACTTGCCCCATTTCTTTCTTGGTTTTTCCTAGAACATTATACGCTACAAATACCTTCATTGTATTTATCTTCATTTTTTCAATCTATAAAAAGCTAATCCAAAAAAAATGGGCTGTTTCAATTCCAAGGTGCTCAGTCCTGACGGTTTTTATTGGTATGGGCCAACAGATTTCGAATACAACACAAAGAAGGCCCTTTTTGAAAAGAGTAATGGTCTTCTTTTTCGCCTTGTCAATGATGAGCGAAAACAGTGGGCGTTCTACAACGATACCAAAGAGTACGACTTTATTGTCACGACAACCTTTGGTCCTGAGTCTTCAAATCTAATCGCACTTGGCAAGACTAGTCTCATGCTAAATCATGATGGAACATACACATCCACCAATGTCATCCACCCAGGTTACACCGAGCCGTACATTCAAGGAGATATATCGGGTTTTGATACCACCGTTGAGGCTGTGTTCTTGGACAACAAAACTTCGCATAGAGTCCGTTATGTGCCGACTGATGTTGTTAGCCCTCGTGATTAAAGATACACCATGCTCTAACCTAGGTAGTAGGGCCACTTACACGCAAACGGGTGCTACTACTAATTGATACAAATGATGGATTACATGGTGGCCAGGGAGATTGTCTACATAGGAAGCCCTCTTACAAAAATTCTTAGAAACTCTTTGGTGCTCATTTGCTACCACTCAGAATCATTTGTGTTGATTGTAAATGTAAGGTGATTAGTAGTTTATCTTGGTAATAATATCGAAAAGTGGAGATTTAGATATTTTTATCATTAATGTTTATTTTCCCGTATTTAATGAGCGTTTTTTTTTGACAATAGATAAAAAAGTGTATTGGCTTTACCGCAGCATTCAGTATCAAAATACTTGTGAGATTCCTTTAATTTTCTGGTTACGATTGGTGCTCCAAAAAAGGATTGCTTTCAATACTTATTTCTACATAAATATGGCAAAGTAGTGTAAATAGGTTCAAGGTGAAAACTCTGTTATTGTATTATTCTTTACTTTTGATTTGAAGTTAAATCTCAGATATAGCTCAGCCTCTTATTTTCAAGCATTGTGTTAACAATGCGATAAATAGTAAACTTTATAGGTTATGCTACTATCTAACCCATTTTAAGATGTATGAAACAAAGATGTACTCAACGTTGGTATCGTTTACCAGAATAAATGGGCGTAGCATAATAAGCAAAAATTGAAAAGGCGTTATTATTTTCCTCCATCTCTACTTTGAACTATAATAAACTCACGCTACCCTTTCTGCATGCCGTCTTTTGCAACTCACAAAACGATTGTTTTTAGTGGGACAGAAGGGCATAGCAAACAGTAAATGAACAAAGGGCGTGCTGATGGAAAGCTGGTGAATGTGGCGTTTTTTCTCTTTATTCGTGTGTCCTTTGGCTTTTTCGATCTCTTTCCTCTTTTCTTTTTGTCTATCATTGTAATGGTTGTATTGATTTAACGAAAAAAGAGAAAGTTCAAGAATCAAAAAAGTACTCAAGAAGGAAAACATAACACCGGCGGCAAATCATTTTGAACGTATAAACACGAAAGCGTAAGAAAACTTCTGTAGAGGGGAAACGATGGACAAAATAATGGGCAATCAAGAGATCATGGATGTGCAGGCCGAAATTGATCAACTTAATCAGAAGCTTCATGACGAAGTTGAAGCATCCGATGTTGCTTTCGATCTCAAGAAAAACCCCATTTTTGAATCACGGAATAAAACTATTGCTGACCTAATAGCCTCAAAGGACCTCCCTGAAACTTTTTGGGCTACTACACTTGTGGCTCTTTTGCAGCTTAAGGCCAAAGCAGAGGAAACGTTTCCCCATTTCCTGGGTCCCTACGATGAGGAGTTGTTGACCAAATATCTAACAGGTATGAAGGTAAATTACACGGATAAAGGTCATAAGATTAGCCTTTTTTTTTCACCCAATCCTTACTTCAAGGAGACGGAGCTTTGGGCGGAGGTGTTGGACGTGATGGCTCCAGGAGGCTCTACCAAAGAGCAGAGTAACGACGATGAGGAAGAGGAATGGGAAGAGCAGATGAACTTCTCGGGTGTTACTTGGAGCCCAGGGTATGGCCCTGAATGTGATGACGAAAAAAGCCAGGATGGAGAACAAGAGGATGCTGGGCACAAGTGTGCAAAAGATGATGAAGCACACACGAAATGTTCACACGAGGAACCCGCCGTTGAAAATCTCCCCAGCAGTAACCATCACAGCGGGGGAAAACAGGGCCCCAGCGTGCTGGAAGTGTTCAGTCTGATGCCTCCGTTTCCAGAAGAGGACTCTGAGTTGTGCAGTGGAGATGACGATGAGGGTGCCCTGATGGAAGCTGTAACAGAATGGGAAGATGAAATGGAGGACCGAAAGCTTCTGCTTAGCACAATGGTAGAAGCCTACTATAACCCCGGTGTGGTGTGGACAAACGTTGAAAATTTCAAAGATCTTGAGATGGCGCTTAAAAAAGTCAAGACAGAATAACCTCCTCCAAACATACTGACCATTCCTACACCGCACCCACTTAAGACTTTTTTTGGACCTTATCGATTTTCAAGGCCTACAGAAGAAATAGCCTTACGGGTTCGGTCTGGTTTTCTAAGATAATTTATTTTTGTAAAGTGCTTCGCATTTAATGTTGTAACTCATTGAATCCGAAATAAATTCTAATTTATTGACTTTTTCTCTCACTCGTTCCTCCGTCCTATATCTCTTCTTAAGTCACTGGAATATTACGCTCTTATTATTCAATTTCTATTCAAATCTCAAAATCCAAGGAAAATCCATTTTTATCAACTTTTGCATTCAAAAACGAAATGGGCTGCAATTCTACTAAAAACAAGCAATACAAAGGCTTTGTGAATGGCACGCCTGACTTCAAGGCAGACGAGATCATAAAGCAATTCGAGCAAAATAACGGTATCCTCTTCCGACTCGTCAATAAAAAAAAGCGGCAGTGGGCATACTATAATGACTCCAAGGAGTATGAAATGCGCATTCAAGTTATCTTTAACCCCGATTGTGATATCAAAGCACTGGGGGAGACTAAACTGGAGCAGCTCGACAATGGTGAGTATATGGCAACGGTTACGGTAGGCCCCCTGAAAACTGAACTTTTCATCAAAGGTCGTGTAAACGGCTTTAAGGCGAAAATGGATGCCTTTGCTGTAGGGGGTCAGCAAGACCCTCAAGAAGCCTCAGGAAACGCTGAGTGATATTTAATGGGGGAAATGAATACTAGAAGTAATGAGGTGAAATGGAAATGATATCCTGCTTAAGAGAAGTATATCTACTTAAGTGATATATTCATATACATTTATACGACCTGTATAACATGTGACTTAGTGTGCTAATCACACTTTGAGGAAAGAGTAAGCTAGTTTTTAATTTTTTATCTCGCACAACGGAAGTAGCGTTTATATTCAAGTAAAGGATGATTTATCATAGAGTCGAAAAGCTAAAATATGTTTATACTTCTTTTTTTTGGCAGTCTTTAGAAGGCTTTCCTTGCCATTTTTTATGCCAATAAATATACACTAACAGAGCTCCGCGTCGTGTAGTTCACACAAGTAATTCATGTTGTTAGTATTGTATCGCTTAACCCAGAAGGAATGAATTACCAAGTAGAAAGAAACAGTTACATATGGGGTATAAGAGATAACTAAGACTTTGGGGGAAACTATTTAGGATCCTTTTCCCTTCTATATAGTAAAGAGGGAAAAAGTTATATAAAGATACGTCGGAAATTGTTGTAATACTCTTTTTTTACCATTAAAAGAGGGAAAATGCTTATAGATTAATTCTGAAAAAAAAAGGAAAAAAGCCAAGGTAAAAACTGACAATATGACTTTATATATCGGTCTAAATATATATATATATATATAGCATTTTTGATGTTCTTTCCTCAATCATAACAATATCCCTAGATTATGCTTAATAATGTAGTTATTGAATAAACATTCCCATCAACTATTTGAGGATAAATCGGACCCAATTTGTTACAACTCCCTCTTTTTTTCTTCCATTTTCTACATGGCATCTTATTTTATGCTTAGAACGACCAGTTTTTACTAAAGCCTTCCTACTAAGTTCATTTACCTCTCCATCTTTCAAAAAATCAACAAAATGGGATGCGGAGCTTCTGCTGCGTCTGCCGAACCAGAATTTGTGAATGGGAAGCCCACTTTCAGGGGTGATGTAATAACCAAAGGCTTTGGCCACGCCAATGGCCTTCTCTTCCGTATTGTAAATAAAAAAACTAGGCAATGGGCGTACTATAACGATACTAAGGAGTACGAAATGCAGGTCAAGGCAACCTTCAGCCCCGATTGTGATATCAAAGCACTAGGGGAGACTAAACTGGAGCAGCTCGACACTGGTGAGTATATGGCAACGGTTACGGTAGGCCCCCTGAAAACTGAAATGTTTATCGAAGGTCGTGTGAACGGCTTTAAGGCGAGGATGGATGCAGTGCCTCTTTCAGATAACTTGCAAGAGAAGCAGGAAGAAGTTGAAGAAGAAATGAAGGAGGAGGCGCAATAGAATTGGTTCTCGTATCTAGATGACTAAAAACGTATTGCATGTTTATATGGGCGTCGGATAAAGTATGTACGATAGATTTGAAAAAGGCTGGGGATCGTTAAAATTTTTGTGTGAAGAGAAATGTATAAATAAATGAGAAAAGTCTTATGTGTAAGTATAGGTTGTGCAATGTTGAATTCCTCAATTTATTTTAGGATTTGTATTACATACTGCATCTTCTCTGTCGTTACATTGTGTTGGAAACTTTATTTTTAGGCATATATTTTTAAATGCATGCCCTAAATATTCTTTCCTAAACATTTGATTTGTATTCCTGAGTGTATATCACTCCTCTGCTCACGCCATTAGCCCAAAAAACTCACAGTATTACCCCTCCATATCTCTGAAATGCATCCACTTTTATCTCAGTGTTCTCTAAGAATTCAATTACTAAACAAATATTGATCGACGTATACTTACATTTCTTCTTTAGAAATAAAGTGGATGAACAATAAAAGTCATGGATATATTTTAGTGGGGCTAAATGTTTGGAGATTTCGTCGTGAGTACTTTTTTTCCTTAAAAGCTTAAAAAAGCCAAGAACGAAAGATAACGCCTATGTACACGTTTTCATTTTTTTTCTATTGACTCCAAAGTCCTACTTTATTGCAATTTTGGAGCTAAAGGTTCCATATTTATGTATAGGAAAGATAATTTTTCTCATACCTTGCACGGGTAAAACTTTTCTTGATTTGTGGTAATATATATATATATATATAGCCTCCGATCATGATGCTTCAGCCTCTAATAGACTTTCAAACATTTTCAAATCCCAATACTTCACTTATGTTGGCCTTAGGAATCTGAGAAAATGAAAAGATAAGTTCAGATAAAGTGTAGGACTCATTAGTGTATTGTCTTTATTGTCATTATTTCACCTTTACTAGTTTCCTTTAGATTCCTGTTTGGCACTAGCCTCATAGTCATCCATAGTACCGTCACAATGCATCGGATTTCCAGAATATGCTGCCGCACATCCCGCAAAGGTCCCGGAGGTTGGTCCTTGCCTACTTTCGTCTCCACTGGGGATCGATCCGCGTCGTCACCACGGCCCTCGATCGATAATCATGCTAACGTTAACTCCCCTAAGAGCAAGAATGAGCCTCACAGCGGAAATCATGGTCCACACGTTTACAGTTGGCGTGCTAACAAAGCCTTTGATTTCGAGACAATCGGACGGACTATTCTAGGTGATGCTTATGATATGTACTGCCCTCCTTCACCCTCTGGTCTACCCCCTCACACTTCTAGGATTTCGGCCGCCGCTAGCAAACAAGAGGGTGCAAAAACACAAGCGCCCCCAACGCGGCCGCAGTCGACGAATTGGCTTGGTAGCCCTACCAGCACTCATTCCATGTTGATGCAACGGCACTTCGGTGTTAACGACTTCTCTCTAATCGATCGGAAGGAGTTGACTCTTACCAAGACGATCGAATTAATGATGAACGCGACATTCAAGCCACGCGACGCGGACAGTCGTGTCTTTGGTGGCGACAATCGCACCAAGATAGCGGAGCAGAGGGAAGAATTTAAAAATATGGACTCCCGGATAGTACCTTTTATGCACGATGACCTTATGTTCGATTATTTAAAGAACATCAACCAGCTTCACGGCCCTTCAGGGCAACTCTACACGCGTGACATTTTAGTGGGGCGATTAGTAGGCCTCTTGTACTTCACAGAGTCGGAGCGCAGCCTCGCCTTCATGCGCGAACTCAAGCGTTTCCACCAGAAGCATACCCCTGACTTTGTGGTCGTATCTATCTCATTGGGTGGGAAGGAAATGATGGATGTTTCGCGGCAGTTCGGATTCTATCACTGCTCCCACCGAGATGGAGCGACGTGGGTGACACGAGACGCGGGGCTGATGATGCGACCATGGACTCCTATGCCCCGATTGATAATTGTCAATGGTAGTACTGGTGTGGAAATCACACGAAGCGGGCTGACGGCGGTTTTAGTTAACCCCGATACGTGTTTTGATGAGTGGAAGCGTGGGGAATCCGGTGTAAAAGCGTGTGACTGGTTACAGACAATCTACATTGGATAATGGAAAGGGGAGAGTCCCTTCTTATTGCTCCTTTTGTTGTCTCATTCTTCATTCTCATCATTATTCTTTTGAACATTTATTTTCTATACGAACTCTTCGTCTAAACGGATATGCGTGTTGAAGGTGGCAGTTTTTGTAAAATTACAGCATGAGTTTTCAATAGAACGTAAGGTGAAGATAAAAAGGTGAAAAAGAGGATTATAACGCCCACCTGTTCCCCTTCTCATTCTTGACACACGTGGACGGGTGGTTGCTTCGAGTATTCACTGCAATCTAACCAGCTGCCAGGTCCAATTGGACCTACCATTCGATCTTACTTAAAGCTATATCGGTCTAAAACCTTTGCATCACCTATCTCTTTCCTTCCCTCCTCCT